CCATTTGCAAAAATTATGGCCGCTTCCATACATATGTACCAGTATATCAAAAGCATGTCAAAAATTATGGGATGTCATCCCCGATATTTTTTCCGAGTTGTCTATTATAGGGCTTTCCGAAAAAAATATCAAGAAAGATATCTCACTTTGTCTGATATACTTTTGGTATACCTGTATGCCGTATATTTGAAACGGCCATCATTTTTGCAAATGGCTGTATATATACATATATATGTCTACAAAAATGGAAATAAACACCAGCAAATGTTTACGATATACTATGTCTTTCTATCCATATTCCAATAATATATATCCCATTCTTGGAATATGGATAGAAAGACATAGTATATCGTAAACATTTGATGGTGTTTATTTCCATTTTCGTAGACTAATGTTTTTGAAACCTCACCTTAATTGATGTCTATGGCGTACGCAGTTCTGACACTTTCCAAAATGAATGACTAGTCATTTCTGCTTCGTCAAAATCMTATTTACAAGATTCCTCCTATTTTGCGTTTTACTTCGAGGGACATACTACTGTGCTGTTTTTATTTTTCTGATTAAAAATACGGTTTTATAAAGTGACTTGAGTGAGATAGAACGAGTCTAAATCCATTTTTTACAAAATTCCCCTCTTTTTGACGTTAACTTTATTGTTGCGGTTTTTTCGTGTAGTCTCCCGAATACAGTAGTTGCGGTGTTCAAAAAGAATGCCATGATCTATTATCATCCAGTCTGTACCGCTTAGATATTACTTTACATCATTGCCCCATTTCGACCTCTTCCATCAAGAGAGCGATTTGCTGTTCTGAGACTGCCACATTGTATAGCGAAGTGTAGCCATAGTTCATAATGAATCATCTATCCACTATGGTGAAACAACAACTTAATTATTGTACCACTCTTATCAGGATTTATAGTATGTTGTGTTTGTATGTATACAAATAGAGGATATTACATGAGCGCTTGGAGATACGAAATGGATCTTCGAGTGCTGAAAAGATCGATGAAAGTTAGATGGCACGAAGTTGAGTGTTTATTATCGATATCCTAGTTTTGGCACTCATTGAAGTAACCAAATAAGCAGACCAAGTCATTACTGAACTTAGTTTGTTATTATAGCATATTTCTTGATTTATTTTTGTTATTTTAGCAACATTTTTTCAGGGATGTCAAATCAAGTAACACTATTAGGTGGGAGTTTTAATGCGGTCACGGAATACGGATACGTATCAAAGCTAAACTTATCTTATACAAGTCTGCCATACTGCATAGCACTTCTGGCGAAGATAGCTATTCTCTTTATGTACCGCATTTTGATCATTACAACTTAAGGAACGCTGACTTTCCAATATCAAGGTCCATTTCTATGGCCAAAACTAAACAAAAAAGTTTCAAATTCAAGTCCCTCCAATCAGTGGTATAAGGAAATTAGACCACTGTTGTGACTGTTCTTAATGTAATAGCTGATTTTTGATTTTAATCTCAATTATGATTTTTATTTTTCATCATTCATTCATTCATTCATTCATTCATTCATTCATTCATTCATTCATTCATTCATTTATGAATTTATTCGTGTATTTATTTATTTTTGGGAGGGGTCTTACTTCACTCCTCCAGAGCTATTTTAATCAATAATTCTACTACCATTTGACTATTCAAATCACTCTAGTTCAATTATTTTATCATTTATTTTAGCGTCCATTTACATATTCAATGTCAGATAACCCGTGTTTGGGATCTATTTACTTATGCCTCCAAACAATAAACATTCGTCTTTCCAAACATTGCTAAACATTTCCATTTTTCATTCTACTATTACCTACTCAACTTTTCTTTCTCGCCATTTAGAGCATTTTTCAAATATTTTAAACTCTTCTATCTTAGCCCTTTCTAAAGCTGTTTCAGTGAACAAAATAGCCGCCTCCAAAGCTCAACAGAAAATACAAAAAATTGCACCCACAAAGTCAAGACAATTTTTCTCATCACAGACAATTCCAGAAAAATTGATCCTCTTAACCAACAAATATACCAAAAACCTTTCCTTACCAAAAAAAACCATTCAAAAGTCGCCTCTTTAAATCTGTCTAGACATTAATTCCACCCACCGACCACACTCAATTGGCTTCCAAACAACTCCTTCTCTACATGACTTAAACACACGTCACCACGCTGCCGCCAACGCGTCTGCCAAACTCCATACGGGAACTTAACCCAACCACATACAAAATGGCGCACCACAGGAATACCAACGCTCAAGCCAACCGGCATACCCTCCTGCTACAGAAAAAGTATAGTACAAGTCTTTGGGCACCCTCCAACTCGCTCCTCGCCCGAAGGCCACAAGTTCACTGCCTTATGAAACTCCCCGTGAGGGTGCCCAAACACAAATCAAGCCACCAGGTCTGGCCCTACATGGTAGCTACCAAAACTAAACTGACTAAAAGCCCCCTATTCATGGACAAAAATACAACCCTATTGCTCACCATGCAAGACCCTCCACACACTTCTTCGTGCAGAGCTCTATTGCTGCCTTCATTAGGCTTAATGATGCCTTCGGGCACCTAGTGGCTGATCTATTCCCTTCCCCTTTCTTATGGCGACGAGCGACTGAACGAGCGAACGCACGAGCTCGATACCAACTCTCTCATTATATGCGCACCCTATGCTAATCTATCATCCCTTAGTACGCCATTTTGGTTAGCACACTTCCATCCAACCTGCTGCTCACTTCATTCGACTACAGACTCCTCTACAACCCAGGTAAGCTTCCTTTATTGTTATTCAGTCACGCTAGACTGCAAACACTCAAAGTCTCCAACACTTTACACTCTTTTGTTGGCTTTGCAGTATTCAGCAGTTGCACACTTAGTCATTTAATGTTTTATTTTTTATGAGCATCATTTCAATTCAGTTACTTCAATACAAAAATACACATTTATTATTCATACAAAAATAGACATCTATTATTGAACTTTATCATTATTGTTTACTTACATCTTCAGAGTAGCCTTTAAATCCACACTCACTTGCTGCTAGTTTCTAGCTTGATACTTCATTGCTTTTTCTTGAATTTCGAAAATAATAAAGATAGATCATTATTAAACTTATACGTACAATATGTTTTATAAATAGAATTACATAACAAGATTATATTGATTCAAATAGGGTAAAATAATCAAATAACTTTACCTGACTTTCTGTTGATGTATGTCATTGCCAGTGATTTCATCTGAAAACACGCACACTCACACTAAGAGATAGTCAGTACAGACACTAAATGCATCAAATATAATTCTACTTATCCTTAATACTTCTCACAATACCCATTTAAATCCAATGCGGCTGCTATATAACCTATATATACCTATAACTTTATGGACATCTTGAAGGAATTTAAAAAGAAGTTGAAGACATACTTATTTAGGCAAGTCTTTTTTATGTACTTTTCACAAATATTTGTTCATACTTATATTTATTTATTTTTGTTCTAACATATATTTTTATAGTTCTTTCATTATGAATATATTTTAACTTATATTATTCATTTTGATCGCTTTTAATTTTTAACTACAAACGGAAAACTTTCAAAAACAAAGCAACAGCATATGGAACAAATGTTAGAAGATAATAGTCTAAACCAAGCAAGCAGGCAAGCAGGCAAGCAGGCAAGCAGACAGACAAGCAATAAAAGAGCTAAATAAACAAACAAACTGAAATATGTGCAAAATAAGTGGGTATTTTACACTCTGGTTACCCCCCAAAGAGGCAGAGTATTATGGGGATGTGAAAGTAGAGAATAAAATAATTATAATGTTAAATTTTTGTTAAGGAAAAGATACTGTAACTAAAGGGGTCTACTTGCTTCATTGGACATTATTGATTATTTGAATGGTAAAACATTTTCATATATTCGTAATATACCAATGAATCAATACTGAAAATATTAAGTTAGAGGTGGCATCAGTCAGTCAATCAATCAGGCAATCAATCAATGATCCAATGATTGAAACTATATAAATGTAAAATTGGAGCTAAATAAATGTATGGAACTAAATAAATGTAGAACTAAATAAATGTAGAGAACTAAATTAATGTATGGCATTAAATATTAAATGTGGGGTGGCATTAAATATTAAATGTGGGGTGGCACTAAATATTTGATGTCTGGCACTAAATATTTGATGTGTGGCACTAAATATTTAATGTGTGGCACTAAATATTTAATGTATGGCAGTAAATATTAAATGAATGGCACTAAATATTTAACGTGGGGCACTAAATATTTCATGTGGGGCACTAAATATTTAATGTATGCCAGTAAATATTTAATGTATGCCAGTAAATATTAAATGAATGGCACTAAATATTAAATGAATGGCACTAAATATTAAATGTGTGGCACTAAATATTAACTGTATGTCACTAAATATTAACTGTATGTCACTGAATATTAAATGTATGGCACTAAATATTAAATGTGTGGCACTAAAACCCTCAAACAATTCCATAGTTAATTATTAGCTATTTCCTATTTACATTCCCTCCCAACACCATCTATTCACCCCCACCACTCTACCCCCTCCCCTCCCATATCCCCAGGGCAGACTGGTATATCATACACTCAATTGAAGAATTGTTGTCTGGTTCAGAAACATAGAACACAAATGCTGAGACCGAAATGGCACATTGGATAGTACGTTAATTAGATGCATGCTGTGAACGGCGACCCGTGGCACCTTTAATACGTGTTTGGCATTCTAAACCAACTGCATAGATGGCGTAAATGAATAAATTATAATATAATTATGTCATATCCCATGTGCCATTTCAGTCTCAGCTTTTATGTTATAATGTTTCTGAACCCGACAATGATTCTTCAATTGAGTGTGTATAAATTATATGTGTAGATAGTAAAATAGTAGCTGCGTACCACAGGTTTGCATTCCCACAAAATCAGATGCCCCACGTCAATCCAGACACTGAAACTACTATCAGGACATCTGAGTTTGCGGGTATGGAAAACTGCCGCACACTGCATTACCTATAAGAATGAATTATTCAATAGATCAAGTAGAGACATGAATTAATTTAGACGCAAAAAGCAGTCATTACACTCCTGAGTACAGATAGCCATATGGCCAAGTCCAACTTCCTTACTTGATTTCTAAACATATTAATTGGATTCAGCCATTTTGAGCGATTTATCAAGCTTTGATAACATGAAAGGACTCATATACCTTATACTGTGCCTCCCATATGATATGGTGTTAAATCTTGGTATGAAGAAGTCGTTTGAATTTCTAAGGTTATACCTACACCAATCGCCATGGAAAAGGTCCGGTATATAGGGTGGGGCCAGATGGTTAATATGAGTGGCCGTGTTGTATCTGATATACAAACTCGAGGCGTAGGCGAGAGTTTGTATATTGGATACGACAAAGACACGAATACTGTAGATTACTTATCAAACGTCTAGGTCTAAGGTCCTTTGTGTTTCGCCAACATTTTCAAGATAGAATTAAGTGAATCTGGCCAAGAAAATCCATCTTAAAGTTTATGCAAATGATTTACAAAACTCTTAACTGTTGTGATTTCTGTTGTGTTTTCTTCATGAATTATTAATGAGTTTAATAAGACCTTATACATAATTTGCGCTATATCCTGTAGCTTACGATTTTGCAATGTTGGAAGTTTTGCCTCCTTTAAAAGCTCAGCTCGTATGAGCTACTCCTATCGCAGTAAATGGCACTAAATAAGTGTATGGCACTAATTAAGTGCATGGCACTAAATAAGTGTATGGCACTAAATAAGTGTATGGCACTAAATAAGTGTATGGCACTAAATAAGTGTACGGCACTAAATAAGTGTACGGCACTAATTAAGTGTATGGCACTAAATAAGCGTATGGCACTAAATAAGTGTATGGCACTAAATAAGCGTATGGCACTAAATAAATGTATGGCACTAAATAAGTGTATGGCACTAAATAAGTGTATGGTACTAAATAAGTGTATGGCACTAAATAAGTGTATGGCACTAAATAAGTGTATGGCACTAAATAAATGTATGGCACTAAATAAGTGTACTGCACTAAATAAGTGTATGGCACTAATTAAATGTATGGCACTAAATAAATGTATAGAAATAAATAAATGTATGGCACTAAACAAATCTAGAACTAAATATTAAATGTAGAACTAAATAAATAGTGAAACTAAATAAATGATTAGATTTAGATTAAACTTATTCTATGTTTAATATTTTTGACTTCTGTTAAATATTTCTCTTGTTTGAAATCCTTTTTGAATATTCTGTAAGTTCTAAGTTTGTTTTTCTGTGAGCCCTTCATTTCTTCCTGAATCATTGTGCATGTCAGCAAGCCAGATTTGAATTTCTTGATCCTAGTATTCTTTGCGTGATTATTTTCAATATTTTTAGTATTCGATGTTCTGTTATTAATTCATTAATGTTTTCTCTCCACATATAGCTAAAGCCTAAATTATCTAGTTGGGATTTTATTTTCTCCGTCCAGCTGGATTTGTTAGTTATGACAGACAGACAGACTTTTTTATTCGGCATCTGGTGTAATAAAATACATTGACATTTTACCCGGATAAACATTAACGTATGAAAGTTATAATTGATGATTTATAGTAGTTTTTCTTATGTTATCATAGATTCACCTATTTAATCTATTTAGTACGATTAATATTTTAGCCTAGTCTGGGTAAGAAGACCACATACTATATTGATTCTGTATTGTATGTGATCTTTTTATGAAACAGTTGTGGACATATTTTGCTACTGCACCTGCTAACAATTTGGGTGGACTGAAAAATAGCAGAAACAGCTCGTTCTCATTTAACAAAAGAGAATCGTTGTTTATGTTATTTATGTCCTTGAAGAGTTCTTCCCTTAGATTTGAATATAATGTACACAGTGAAGAAGGAAATGCCTCTCATCTTCTACACTATCTGGGCAATGGAAGCATCTCCTTTCTTCTGTTTTTTTGTACTCCCTTGAATGTCTCCCCTTTTCGATTTCAAGGTCGTGATTACTAATTCTCAATTCTCAATTGGGTTAATGCTTTTCTGTGTTCAAAATTCTTTACTTCGATTAAATAATTTTCAAACGAGTAATCTGTTTTTACCAGGCGATATGTCCTTAATTTATTTTTTTGTCCTGGTGGGCCTCTTCTAGTTTTTTCATCGTTGAAGAGTTCCCCTCGCCAGACTTGAATTTCTATATCGGTTAATCTAGTTTTAATTATTTTGAATGGGTTCTGACTTGAATGATAATTGTAGTTTATTTCAAGCCAGATATTCCCTAAGCCGCTTCGGTCTAATAAAAATTTTACTTTACTAGACCAGTTATTGTTGTTTATTGCTAATGATTCTCTATATACAATTGCTGACAGTTTTTGGCGGTTCTCAAGTTTTGTTATATTAAGCCAGAACTTAACTGATCTTAGATATGTCTGTTAGGCTATCTCCGGGGGGAGGGGAGGGGGGTCTACTACCACCCCAACTTGGGTAGGGGTGTGCCGCCAGGACCTCAAAACACTGACCCTATCCCAGACCTAAATTTTTGATTTTACATACCCTACCCCAGACTAAAACTAAGAAATATACACCCTATCCCAGACTAAAAGACGGAAAATACGGTTTTACAATCGATTGCAATCAATATTTACAAACATTATTATTGTTTTTGGTCGGCAGAAAGCGTAGCCTATTCGCCAGACGAAAACGACCAAATCGTTAACCCTATCCAGGACTAAAATGAAACCCTATCCCAGACAAAATGTCAAAAAATGATACCCTACCCAGACCCAAAAGCCGAAAAACCATACCCTATAGGGCGGCACATATGGGGGCTATCTATAATTGTTTGATGCGATAATTTAGTGTCATCGTTTCTATTCAAGAATTTAATCCAAAATTTTATTGCTCTTTGTTTTGCTGTTGATCTGATGGGGAAAAGACCTAACTCAGATCTACAAGCGCTATTTCAGGCTTTCTTGCTGACGCCCAGCAGCATTTTGCAGAATTGTAACTTGTACCGTTTCAGTTGGGTCGCCATTTAGATTCTTTTTCTTATCCACACCCCAGACTTCGCTACCATACAACAGGATTGGTTTTATCAGACAATTAAATAGTTTTATTGTAAGTTTTACATCTGTTCTGAACTGGTCACCCATATCCTTGCAGAGTTTAAATAAGGCTTTTAACGCGATTTTCTTAAGTTTTTCTCGGGGGATAGAGAATGTTCCTACCGCGGAGAATAGCAGACCTAGGTATTTATATGTTTTAACATTTTCGATCTTTGTGTCTTCAAAATATAACTTATGATTGTTTAAAATCCTTGTTGTCCTCGTTGTGTCTTTGACATCATAACCAAGTCATCGGCATATAAAAGACAGTTTATACCAGTGTTGTTTATTTCAGTTAAGTTTGAAGCTTCGTCATTAAAAGTTTCAGGCAAATCGTGAAGGTATATGTTGAAAAGGGCGGGAGATAACATACACCCTTGTTTAACTCCTTTATAGCATTTAAAGCTATGTGTGATTAAGTATCATCAGTATGGAACTAAATAAATGTATGGAACTAAATAATGATGTGTGGAACTATTAAATAAATGTATATATGGAACTATTAAATAAATGTATGGAACTATTAGAAAAATGTATGGAACTACATAAATAAATCAGTGTAGAACTAAATAAATGTAGAACTAAATAAATGTA